GATCTAAGTTCCAAATATAATCTTTAAGTAATTAAAAAAATGAAAGTTTTTTGTTTATTTGTTGACAAGTTTAATTTTTCCAGTGGGTTGTGGGTTCGCGCTACCTGATCTTGTTTATAGACATTGAAGGGAAACCCCCTATATTTGACCTTGAACGACATCAACATGTTTACATCACAACTTTGGTTGAGTTTTGGATTGAACTGGTTTGTGTAGGTGGTCGTATTTGCAAACAATGTTATGCTTCAAAAAGCGCTTGGCTGTATATTACTGAAAACTAAACTTTCAGTCTGAGCCGTTTAAAATGTTCCTATCAATGAACTGTTTATATAACCGTTTTCTAGTCAATAACAATCACATAGGTCAAAGGTGAAAAAGTGGAACATTCTTTTAGGACTCGTCCGTAAACCGAAGAAAATATATCAGTGATATAAAACACCGTAAAAACGGAATGAACGGAAGAAATGATCAAAATTATTTGCCCAGAAATTTGTTACGACTCCGTCCTGATGGATAAAAATAACCACGAGAAAAGAAATTAAGGTTAAACCTAGGCGATTAAATACTAAACGGGATTTTTCATATCTTTTTCCAAGTTCCACTTCAGATTCATCAATAATTAACTATTTCATTTTAAAGGGTTGTTTTTGCAAACGTCCATAACCCGTAATCAACCATGCTTCGCAGTTAATTTGAACTAGATAAATAACGGTGTTACGAAACAATCTTTCTCATGTATTTATGGTTATGTTTTTAATTTAAACATTATCCAACCAACTAAATAAATCATTTCTTATTGCTACCAGTTTTTTTCAATCAACAAAGAAGGATATAAAGGCAGTTACTAATAAAATGTCAATCGAATGCAGGCGCGGATCCATTTTGAAAAGGGAGTTCATACCACCCGGAACACCATAAAACGTTCACATAAAATTAAAGGAATATCGAAAAGGGGGATACTCGGAACCCCCACCCCTTTCCGGATCTGCCAATGGAATTGAATCATTTATAACGACGAAAACATCAATTTCGATTATTTACAAACAAACAATGGACTGTTCTTTTTCTTAGTGAAAGCTTTGTAAGTGACTTTCTACTATTTACAATTTATTATACAGAAGATGTTGGGTATACCTCACATCTGCACGAAACTTCTTTCTTTGTACAACTTAATATGTTTGATAACTTGCATTCTAACAAATTCAAACCAACAGATGTCGTCTGGAAACAGACTTTCAGACCAGTTGGCTAACGGAGAAACGAATCGTGAACTTTCAATTTCTATGTTGCAACATTCTAGCATTGGCTGTAAATTGAGTTCTAGTATATATCTCCCAGTTGATACGATAGATGGCTGGGGTTGTTGCTTCCTGGCGTGTAAGATATTGAACCATGGGTTCCTCCTGGTAAAGATAAAGTCAACTCTTTCAAAGTATTACGGACGCCATCGTGATTTGGTTGACCGTTATGGAATATTTGTTTTACAGATGACCACGGATATTTTCCAATTGTATAGACAAACTCGTCCTCTTTTCCTCGGCTATGATATAACCGAAGGCGACCTCTCGTCTAATTTTTACATCTTCATTCTTTGGTTTCTGGTGGATAGTTGTTTCATTGCAATCATACAACATTTCCTTATTTTTATATAAAAAATACAACTCTGTGGAGGATTTCGTGGGTCATCTTGTTTCAAAGAAACACTTATGATTCTTACCCATATGCCTTTTCCCAAATAATTTTCAGCCAAATTCAGTCGGTCGACAGTTGATCATTTGATATCCTATTTGGTAGCTATTTAGTAGATAACTGTATTGTATTTTAAGCTTGGCCTTCGTAAAACGTAGATTTTACTGTCGAAAATTGAGTTTACTTAGCGACCTGTAGCGGAGCTAGGTAAACTGTGTTGTGGAGAGGAGGGAAGTGGATCGTAACCCCTGGCTAGCGAAGATGGATATCAACAAGAAAAAGATTAGATACAAATTCAACTACCACATATGATATTTGGATTATTAATAATTTTATTTTAAGATATATTTAGAACTCAAAGCATGACTAAGTCTTATAGTCAGCATACGACATTAAAGAAGCCTTGGTGATAATGATATTTTAGCCGCTACCCTGATTTTTGCCGATACGCGGGTTGTTCAGTGTGCACGACATCTTTAATGTTATTTCGAAGTTCATAGGCAGAAAATATATTACAGTCATTCCTTATAATTTAATTCTAAATTCCATTTTAAGGAGTAAATCATGAAAAAACGTTGATGACGTCACGGTCACATGACAAAATTATGTCTTATGAGCTGATAGACAAAAAACTTTCAGCCAATCAGAAGACGTGTTACATCCAAAATTTAACTATTAAATGTTACGAACTAAAAGGTTTTTCTTGAAATTATATCAACTTGCAGAAACGGGAATTACGAAAATATTGGACAGTACAACAGATATACTAACCACCAACACCCAATTCCTCGGATACATAGTACAACATGGTCCAGATAGACTTACTTGGTACACACACAACATCAACTTCCAAAAACGAACTTCGTCTTGACACGATACTTCGTACCCCAATCTGTGAGATAAGTATATTGGATACTTATTTGCGTCCATGCAAGGATAGTTAAATTCAGATAAAGTCATCATTCAAGAATGCTTGGTGATACGTTATCCGAATATGAAATCAAATAAAAATCCCTATAAAAATAAGGTGCATAGGTTTTATGTCTCTGGGTTAACATAGTAAATATATACTTATTGTCCCACCTCTCAAAAGAGTGTATTACATAACAAGTATGCACAGGATCAGATAGCCATGAGATCCTACTTTTTAGTAAGATTGGTAATGTTTGTTGATCAACTTAAAAAGTGGATTCCTTTTGGCATGATTCAGTTGAAAACACGTGGTTTATAGGAACATTTTTGAAAATGGTTTAACGACGGACGACAAATGGTGAGAAAAAATAACGTCATAGGATCTTGAGGGTCCTACAAAACATTTATTCCGCAGCCTGCCAGACGGACATGTACATCCTTCAATCATACCATACACAAAATATAGCTGACGTTTTGCCTATAGCATCTGAGAAACTGATCTAATTTAATTTGTTAACGAACACTTAACGTCGATCATTAAATGGTTTATAGGAACATTTTTTGAAAATGGTTTAACGACAGACGAAGAACGTCAAATGATGAGAAAAGTTAACATCATAGGACCTTCAGGGTCCTACAAGAAATTCATTTTGCAGTCCTGTCGTGTTTCTTTCTATACGATAAACCAGAAAGGTGTGCAGCAGCATATGGTTTTATGAATTGATGTCAAGATTGGCAGCCAATGCTAACCCCCACTCCCATAATGCATTAAACCTTGAACAGTGGTGTGACAGCAAACTGTAAAAATCAATATGGAAAGAATTTGACTCATCAGTCTGAGATTACTAGCACCTAAAAACCCTAACGACAATAGAGGAGACACAAAGTACCGACCTATCAATTTTCAGTTACTGAAAGCTAGTTTAAACTTATTTCGACTACTCACTAAGCCATGTTTCCCAGACCGTGAATATGGTAAATATAGATGATTCGCGTGAATAACCTTCCCAATATATAAGAAAATTAAGTCAAAGTTTTGCTCCAAACTATAATCTAATTAAATAAAAAAACAAACGGATATATCTTTTGTCGCCGAGTAGCTGTCCCATTGGCGTATACCTCACACCTACTTTCACTCGTATAGGTTTATAGTAGGTAATTTATATGTATAGTGGAGTCATTTAAGTCAAGTCCAAAGTTTCATTTCAAGTCTTACACAAAACAATTAACATAGTACAATTACACATTATAGATTAGAATATAATACAATATTTTTATTTTCCTAATCATAGGGCTCATTACAAGCATATCAATCAAGTTACAAATACAATACAATATAATTATGATTATTATACACATAACAGACAATAATTATTCAACAATAAAAGGGGGAGAGTCAGTTAATATAGTATATAAAGGAGGATAACTCCTGTTCTACATAAGATATTGATATATTTTTTTGACGAGATAAAATATGATTTTTTCACAGATCTTTTGCCCTTCTTATTTCAAATACACGAAATAAATAATTAAGATAATCACTGAATTCTGCCGTATAAATTGGCATTTGCATGTCATCTTTATCCAGATCAAAAGTTCATCTTTATGCAAGGACAATACCACTCACATTATATAAGACAACTATCCATCCAAGTCACAGTGTGTAAAAAGTAAACAATTATAGGTCAAAGTACGGCCTTCAACACGGAGCCTTGGCTCACACCGAACAGCAAGCTATAATGGGTCCCAAAAAGACTAGTGTAAAACTATTCAAACAGGAAAACCAACGGTCTAATCTATATGCACACATATAAACAAAAATACTACACATACATCGATCGAGGAGAATATCGAAAAATGAGAGAGGGACAGCCGTCAAACAGAAAAATGTACTGAAAAAAAATATTGTCCAAAAGGGGCGGGCCGCCCACCTCACCGGCCGTATAATAGCTTCTAGTATAGTAATGCCAGACATATTGCAGTCTGAGACACCTCTGCTTACACACATTTTTATATGCCTGAGTTTAACTTGAAACAACACTCGAACAATGCTTTCTATTTAAACAAAATTGTTATGTGTAAATTTACGACGTCCATTATTAGCTAATGTTGTTTTTGTTCTTTTCGGTTATTTGTTGCTCTGATTTGATTGGTCATTTCGAGTGACTATGTCATTGCATCACGAGACCAAAGTTCCCGTACTTTCCATACCAAAACAAAGCTCCATTTTGATGGCAAACGTAAACAAAATAGAACATTTCAAATTTTGAAGTTCAGGATAGTTGACAGTATATGACAAAATTGGAATATTGTGTTGGGACATTTAAGTTGTAAGTAGAAATTTACTTAATTAAATATCTTTATTTGCAAATGTTTTAAAACAGCATGCATGTTATCGTTGGCCAGTGGTTGTGCAATCAAAACAAGTTGTTTATCGACTAGAAATTTGTGGTTTTATACAGTTGAATCTGTTGGCGAAAACGGCAGTTGGTTCAGTAATAAATTGTTTAACATGTATTAAGAATGACTAATGGTTTTATTGCCTGAAAACATAAGGGATGGTGATGAAATCCGTCATAGACGTGATGATCAGGGTTTTCTAAGGTCAAGGATTTGTTTTTAGTATGCTAAAAGACGACAGGATATTTTGTCACATCATCATTTAATTTTAAAAACTCAACTGTCAATCATCATTATGTTTTTCTGATAGGTCCTGATAGTATGTTAATTGGGTTGAAAATTTTAGTTTTAAAAATAGGTGAAAATTGAGGTGTGCCAAGTGAGGTTATCATTATTCTTGACACTTGACCACTCACATTGGGGAATAGTTTACTTTCATTTTGATTGGGAATTTTAACAGTTTTGGAGAAATACTTTTAATAAACTTTAAAAATAGACCATGGAAAAAAGAAATGTTAATCCCATACCTTGGTTTGATCTAAATAGTTCAAGGAGATTTTATATGTTTAATAGGTAAGTACTGTACAATATGTTTTAATAATGAACATTTTTCAGAACATCCATACACTTTTATTTTAAATATGTATCCAATGTCATTTTGTATTTTTAACTGTATTTACAGCTGCTTAGAATAGAACACTTAGACTAAGTTATACATTGTACTTATTACACAATGTCTCAATTTGTCCATCTTATAGGTCATAAGCTTATTTGTTAGTTGTATATTTTTGGGAAATCAGTGAATAGTCATCTGTATGACCAGACTTTTAAAAATTTTAAACATTAAATACATTTGTAGGTAAGGAGTAGAGACTAAATTTTCATTTGATAAATTTAGTTTAAGAATACAAGATTAATTATACACCTGAAATATGTTTTAATTATTACATAAGAGATTTATTTGCAATTATAAGTTTTCATAGTTTCAAATTGTAAAGATAGTTTACATATTTTAAATTCAGTTTAAAAGGAACACTGGAAGGTGTCCATGTATAAATGGCATTCTGAAAAAATCTTAAGAGTTTGATTCTTTTTAATGGTTTATTTGTAGGTCATTCATAATGTACATGTGTACATGTATCTTAATTTTCTTTACAGTTTTACACACACAGTTTATAAATGTGCATTTAACATCAAGGTCCAATACACATGCAACCGTACCACCTTACAAATAGATGGATATCTGTCAACAGTTATCTATTACAATCACATCGATTTTCATGTAGTTTAAAGTATACTGATATAGCAGGTCTAAAAAATATAGGTTTTCAATTGAGCTTGTGTACAATTTTTTCCGAAATGAAGTAAAAAAATGTACTTTCAGTTGCAAACCATTAAGATTCCTTTTAAAAAAAATTATATTGGCAACATCTGATATTGAGATGGGTTAACATAACAACCAAAATTACAATATTCAAATGGCTTAGCATTTAAAATATTATTCTAGAAATTTCTTTTACTATTAAAGGTCCAGTTGTTTTGTACAGAATAAACCATGCTACATGATAATTTTTATATATCTTATATTGATTGATAATACTCTTTATTTGTACTTACCGTAGCTATACATGTAATAAAATGTACATGTAATTTGTATATTTTTCAGTTTTGGTTACCCATACTCGACTTGTGGTTGTTATTATAATTGTATGCCATATACACCAGTTCAACAACAGATGACCTTTGGTTATAACCAGGCCCCACAACGGGTAAACAATTATGTTTTTGAAAATCGATTGCATGAAAAATCTAACAGGTTACAATTTTTTTTTTATCTTTCTTCTTTTGATATGCAAGATTAGCCTGAAAATGAATCAGTTTTGAAATATTACAGATAGATATATATGTAGATACATTGTACTTACATGTGATCATATATATTTTTCAAGGATAGAGGTTAAGTTCGGAAGATTTATTTGCGCAGAAAGATGTTCGCTTCAAAAATATAAGCTTGGCCTTGAAAGGGTTTATGACCGACAAAAAACGGGGCAGGAATTGATGAGTATATGCCTAGACAAATCTACTTCCTTTAGTATTTGTTAATTGTCCAAATCATTTGTAATTACGTGAATTATAGATGCATATTTATAAATGAGTAATACATTTTATACAAATGAAAACAAAAATTTGTTTTTTGAAGTTAAAAGAGTAGTAGGAAGTAAATATGAATAAAATTGAATAAAAAAGTGAAATAGATGAGGTTCAGAAGTGGGAAGTAGCAGTGTCTTGTTAGAGTTTCTGAATAAAGAGGACCTACATCCTACTTAAAATTTATGAAAAAAAAAATACTAGCTGACTAACATTGCTCAAACCAATGTTCCTTTAAAATTCAATGTTTGTTGTATATTGATAATCTGGCTGATTTCCTACAATTTTTACAAGCATATCAAAAGGGAGACAATTCAAACAGTAATTTCTAGAATATAAGATCTATAAAACCAAAGTTGTATGGATATCCCTTTCAGTAATTTGAAAAAAGAGCATCTAACAACTGCTTTGAATAAAACATTTGAAAAGAAATGATTAGATGTAATATTTGTACAAGGATATAGATATACTGCTTTATGTTCATTTAATGTATGATGTTTTCTTGTATTTTTCAGCCAAGAAGAATGGATCCATATTTAAGTAGTGTATATGTAACTGAACAATCATTATACGATCCACCTGTAAGAGAGAAAACAAGTTTGGATACATCAGTATATGCATCTAGTCCAAATTCATTATTCATGTATGAACAGGAGAAAGCCGATATGCAAAGCTCCCTTGGGAATATGACATGTAGTAGGAAGAATGAGGAATTTGACTTGAATTCTCAGTTGGAAACGTCTTGTGATATTGCTCTGCCTGTGTCTAAAGGTTCACCATTGTTCATAGGAGAGACATCAGAGTCTCAGTCTAACACATGGCCAATGGACACAAAAAGTGATGTGGATTTTCTAAATTGTGATGTTTTTCAAATGGATGAAGAAATGGACAACCCAACTTTAGCTGAACTGAATGCTTCAGAATCACTATTAGATGATTTAGCTAGCATAGTTGGTCCAACTTCTAGTGACAGTGACAAAACTAAATCATGGAAACAAGAAAATGGGTCAGAAATCTCGGAACAAGTGCAGCAGTTGAATGGCAATTGGTCTTCAACAGGTCAGCTGCCACAAGCTTCACAGCAAAGTTCACTTGCTAGACCTGTGTTTTGTGGAAGAAAACCATCAGCAACTGTTACTTCAGAGTCTGATAATAACACTGTATCAACTAGAATGAGTCAGTTGCTGCATATTCAAACCAGTCCTCCTAAAATTGAATCAGAGTCCACCACTAGTCCAGTTCAAAGTGTGCCTAATCCAAAGATTCCGACTAGTCCTGCAAAACGAAAACAGAACATTAGCAACAAAGAGGTTGATGAAAAGTGGGAAGAAATCAAACATTATATATATGATGATGATGAGCAGGATGAAGATATACCACAACCAAAACAAACAAGACTCAGTACAGGTAATTTTATATGAGATCCAAATGAATTTTTACTTTTTTATGTTTAACTCAGCTAAATTGTTATTCAATAGAGGGATTTTCAGAAAATCTTTTCCCAAGGTCAGGGTTTGTAACACTTTAAATTCTGGTTAAAGGAAATATCTATTTACTGCAGTCATGGCAGTAATTTGCAAAAAATCGAGAAATGATCTTAAAAATAATGTTCTTTTCAAAGTTGAATGTCAGTATACATGTACATGTTATTGCATGTTATTGTGTTGATGTCATCAGAGACAGGTCATGAAGTAGTACATATTGATTTTCCTTGTTAAAAGTGGAAGGAAAAAGTGATTGACCTTTTTTTTTCATATCTTGATCAGGCACCTACTTGTACATGCAACATACATTTGTACTGGTAATATATGAATATAAGCATGTTTTACTACAAATTCCTACTATTTTCTAGAGGTAAAAGCTTATTATTATTGTTTCTTTTGTTAGACTCTTACAAGTCTGTTGTTACATCAAATGATGAATCTGACATGGAAAGTGATCGAGAATCTCACGACTCAGGTAAATATGCATTTGTAGTTGTTGTTGTGTATTAATGGAAAATTGAGATACATGTAACATATGTAAGCATCAAACCTTCAATGAATTTACACTAAAAAAACACCTAAAACTAGATTTTGCCAAGTACACACTATTTAGCTTACAAGTGAGATAGCACGTTTAATGTCCCTAATACATATACATTGTATATTCATATCACATTAATATGATTGTAAATTAATTGTAATTATATGCAGTCATCAAAAGACATCAATTAGGTATGTTCATACATGTAGTATGTATTGTAAAATTTAAAAAGATTTTGTAATATTGTATTTTATTATAGTTCAAAAATGATATCCATGCACTCATTTTGATTTATTCTTTTGAAATAGCTAAAAGTCAAGAAATGGAACAATACATACATATATACTTATCTTTCATGCCTTCATTAGTGTCAATCAAAGCACCATACTTTATGAAAATTTTTTGTAGCGATTTTGGTTCAAGTGAATATAAAAATGTAAATAAAGTATCTTATCCTGTTTTGTAGATTCAGATTATGATGACAACAGTCAAGATTCATGGTCATATAAACATGAAACAGACACCTCGCAGAGAAAGTCTCGACAGTATTTCTGGCAATATAATTTACAATCAAAAGGACCTAAAGGTGCCCGTGTCAGTTTTGAACAATTAGAACAAGATGATCCACATGTTGTAAAGGATTTTGAAGATCCAGTATTTGATCCTGTTGCAAGTAAATTTGTTGCGGGAACGACAATACGTCATGGCGGTAAAGCTCGGAGAGGAGATGGAACTGATGTCTCACCAAATCCAAAGAAACTTTATCAGATCGGTCAACAAATTAACAAGTTAAACAAACAAATTGACTCTTTTATTCCATTGAGTGAAATGCCAGTCTCTAGTCGGAACAAGTCCAAAAAAGAAAAAAACAAGTTGGCTTCCAGGTAAGCTGCAGAACTTGAATCAAATATGATTTTACATTTTATATTATTATTATGTTAAAAAATTTGTTAAAAGGAAGTGAGAGAATATATAGAAATTTGTGTGTTTGTGCAGCTACTGGTAATCTCTGCCTTGCTACACATACAATTTAGTGACATACTGATAATCTCTGCCTTGCTACACATACAATTTAGTGCATACTGATAATCTCTGCCTTGCTACACATACAATTTAGTGCATACTGATAATCTCTGCCTTGCTACACATACAATTTAGTGCATACTGATAATCTCTGCCTTGCTACACATACAATTTAGTGCATACTGATAATCTCTGCCTTGCTACACATACAATTTAGTGCATACTGATAATCTCTGCCTTGCTACACATACAATTTAGTGCATACTGATAATCTCTATGAAGATTTATGCATGCAAAGGTAGAAAACCAACACTTAAGAAAAAGTATCTAATCCTTTTTGGAATTTCCACATTTTAACCTTCTGTTTGAATGAAAAAGATATTACAGCATGGTGCAAAAACAATGACAAAAAATAAATACAGAAAAGTCACAAATCAAAGGCGTACAATAAACACATGTAACTAAAATACCGAACTCCAAGGCAAATTCAAAAAGGGGAAGTCCATAAAAGCTGATAAAACCAAAAGCTATCAATCAACAAAGCAAGTGAAAAACAACTGCCATATTCCTGACTTATAGGTACAGGCATTTTCTGAAGAAAATGGTGGGTTAAACATGGTCAATATGATATGAAATCATCACATTAAAGCTTAAGTTTACTTATTCTAAGTCAGCCATTTAAATGTAAAAATAATGTATGACCAAATGTTATACTGTACATGTACCTGATTTGGTTGAATTTATTCATACTGCATCATTACTTTTTAAATATTTTTTTATCCCCTGACAACCAATTGCAATAATCTAATACATATACATGTATTTTAATTTAATTTAATCCAATTATCTATGCATGTCAATTGTTTAGCAAATTTAAGTTGGAATTTAAAAAAAGATACAAATTTTTATATAAAACAAATCTTCCTGCAAAAAAAAAAGATTTCTTAGATTCAATTATCTCCTCTGTACAAGTACAGTAATAAGTATGATGGCCCATTGACACTGACTTAAATCAATTTGTAATTTGAAATAATAAGAGGTCATTTAAACTATTAAATGCTGCATTGTTGAAAAGAGGCAAAAGATACCAAGAGGACTTTCAAAAGTCTAAAAGAAGCTGACAACGCCCATGGCAAAAATAAAAGATGACGAAGTCCACAAAACACTACATGCATAGAAAACTAAACAGACTAAAGACAGCAACAAGAATCCCACCAAAAACTAAACAGACTAAAAACAGCAACAAGAATCCCACCAAAAACTAAACAGGCTACAGACAGCAATAAGAATACCACCAAAAACTAAACAGGCTAAAGACAGCATCAAGAATCCCACCAAAAACTAAACAGACTAAAGACAAAAAAAAAGAATACCACCAAAAACTAAACAGGCTACAGACAGCAATAAGAATCCCACCAAAAACTATACACACCAAAAACTAAACAGACTAAAGACAGCAACAAGAATCCCACCAAAAACTAAACAGGCTATAGACCGTAATAAGAATCCCACCAAAAACTATACACACCAAAAACTAAACAGGCTTAAGACAGCAACAAGAATCCCACCAAAAACTAAACAGGCTAAGGACAGCAACAAGAAACCCACCAAAAACTAAACATGCTAAAGAGGCGCAACAAGAATCCAGCCAAAAACTAAACATGCTAAAGAGGCGCAATCCCACCAAAAACTAAACATGCTAAAGAGGTGCAACAAGAAACCCACCAAAAACTAAACATACTAAAGAGGTGCAACAAGAAATCCACCAAAAACTAAACAAGCTAAAGACAGCAATAAGAATACCACCAAAAACTAAACATGCTAAAGACAGCAACAAGAATACCACCAAAAACTAAACAGACTAAAGACAGCAACAAGAATCCCACCAAAAACTAAACAGGCTACAGACAGCAATAAGAATCCCACCAAAAACTATACACACCAAAAACTAAACAGACTAAAGACAGCAACAAGAATCCCACCAAAAACTAAACAGGCTATAGACCGTAATAAGAATCCCACCAAAAACTATACACACCAAAAACTAAACAGGCTTAAGACAGCAACAAGAATCCCACCAAAAACTAAACAGGCTAAGGACAGCAACAAGAAACCCACCAAAAACTAAACATGCTAAAGAGGCGCAACACGAATCCAGCCAAAAACTAAACATGCTAAAGAGGCGCAATCCCACCAAAAACTAAACATGCTAAAGAGGTGCAACAAGAAACCCACCAAAAACTAAACATACTAAAGAGGTGCAACAAGAAATCCACCAAAAACTAAACAAGCTAAAGACAGCAATAAGAATACCACCAAAAACTAAACATGCTAAAGACAGCAACAAGAATACCATCAAAAACTAAACATGCTAAAGACAGCAATAAGAATACCACCAAAAACTAAACATGCTAAAGACAGCAATAAGAATACCACCAAAAACTAAACAAGCTAAAGACAGCAACAAGAATACCATCAAAACCTAAACATGCTAAAGACAGCAATAAGAATCCCGCCAAAAACTAAACATGCTAAAGACAGCAACAAGAAACCCACCAAAAACTAAACATGCTAAAGACAGCAACAAGAATACCATCAAAAACTAAACATGCTAAAGACAGCAATAAGAATACCACCAAAAACTAAACATGCTAAAGACAGCAACAAGAAACCCACCAAAACTAAACATGCTAAAGACAGCAACAAGAATACCATCAAAAACTAAACATACTAAAGACAGCAATAAGAATACCACCAAAAACTAAACATGCTAAAGACAGCAACAAGAATACCATCAAAAACTAAACATGCTAAAGACAGCAATAAGAATACCACCAAAAACTAAACATGCTAAAGACAGCAATAAGAATACCACCAAAAACTAAACATGCTAAAGACAGCAATAAGAATACCACCAAAAACTAAACAAGCTAAAGACAGCAATAAGAATACCATCAAAAACTAAACATGCCAAAGACAGCAATAAGAATTCCACCAAAAACTAAACAAGCTAAAGACAGCAATAAGAATCCCACCAAAAACTAAACATGCTAAAGACAGCAACAAGAATACCATCAAAAACTAAACATGCTAAAGACAGCAATAAGAATACCACCAAAAACTAAACATGCTAAAGACAGCAATAAGAATACCACCAAAAACTAAACAAGCTAAAGACAGCAACAAGAATACCATCAAAACCTAAACATGCTAAAGACAGCAATAAGAATCCCGCCAAAAACTAAACATGCTAAAGACAGCAACAAGAAACCCACCAAAAACTAAACATGCTAAAGACAGCAACAAGAATACCATCAAAAACTAAACATGCTAAAGACAGCAATAAGAATACCACCAAAAACTAAACATGCTAAAGACAGCAACAAGAAACCCACCAAAACTAAACATGCTAAAGACAGCAACAAGAATACCATCAAAAACTAAACATACTAAAGACAGCAATAAGAATACCACCAAAAACTAAACATGCTAAAGACAGCAACAAGAATACCATCAAAAACTAAACATGCTAAAGACAGCAATAAGAATACCACCAAAAACTAAACATGCTAAAGACGGCAATAAGAATACCACCAAAAACTAAACATGCTAAAGACAGCAATAAGAATACCACCAAAAACTAAACAAGCTAAAGACAGCAATAAGAATACCATCAAAAACTAAACATGCCAAAGACAGCAATAAGAATTCCACCAAAAACTAAACAAGCTAAAGACAGCAATAAGAATCCCACCAAAAACTAAACATGCTAAAGACAGCAACAAGAAACCCACCAAAAACTAAACAGGCTAAAGACAGCAACAAGAATACCACCAAAAACTGGGGATGAACGCTGCATTATACACAACTATTGATAGATGTATATACAAGTGTAGTAGAATTAATTTTTTAATGAAATGTCATTTTCTATTTGTAATAAATTCCATTATTGTACTATTGAGAAGCATAAAAATCTATATAATGTGAATGTCCGTTCTTTTTTCCAGAGCTTGTCGTTTGAAGAAAAAGGCACAACATGAAGCTTACAAAATCAAGTTACATGGCTTAGATATGGAACATAAACAGCTGTTACAACTTACACAAGAAATGAAGCAGAAATTTACAGATGTCCTTCAGAAAACACTACCTGAAAGGAAAATAGTTAAACAAGAAGGTACAGATAACCTTCAAATGACACAGTACTTAGAAAAAACAGCAGAAAAGGCTTATAGTAAGTTCTTGATTTATTTTAAATTGTAATTATATATACATGTTAAAAATATTCTTGACTTTCATAAACTGTAAATTAAATGTTTGTTTTTTTTTGTACCCATGAACCAATGTTTGATATACAGTAAGTGAAAGTAGGAATTATGCTTCTATCAAAGTGAAAAGATGGCTAGAGAGACAAGTCCACATTACAAATTTACCATAGTCGTATCTTGAATTAATTCCAGTTGTGCAATTAGTACATAATTAACATGTATATGGATTTTTAAAACTAGAAATTAAAGGCACTTATTTCCCCATCATTATCAAAAATTAGAATTTGCATTAACTCATTTTATCATTATCTATTTCAGCTTACAAGGTGGCTGGTGATACATCAGAATTTGTAAACAGAGTGCTCTGTAAAGTAGAGGAAGGAGATCCTACAGGTGGTCTGGATCAAACATAGACTTAACATTATAAACTAAATAGACTATAGTTCCAAACACTGTGATGACTGTTCAAAAATTGTTGTTATCTTGGATATTGCCTTTAGTGTAAACTTTGTGATTCTGGCAATTATTACTAATGGTGATATCATGTATCTTCATGTTGACTTTAAATTACTTTTGGTACAGACAATGTGAAAAAAGTTTTTGTTGTTTTTTCTTTGAATGCTCAAACAGTTGACATGTGCATAGAATGTTTAATTGCTAGTATTTTGTATATAATGGTACATTTATGTGTATATCACTGTAAATACATTGTTATTGTATTCAAGCAATGGAAAAATTTTGTAAATAGTACATATAGACTAGTGTGATCTTATGTAAATATTTCATTTGTTGATTTTGAGAAACAAATCTGAAAGACTTGTAATTTGTTGATTAAAAAATTAAATGCAATAAAGATTGATGTTTATTTTGTCACTAAAATTTGAAATAGCAAAACAGTGTCTTTTTTTTCTTTGGCCTCTCGCATGATTTAAAGAATAAAATGTATGTGGTTAAGGCTTTAAGATGTATATAAATCTTCAGTTTTATGATTTAACTAGTCAAAAATTTCACATGCTAGTACTATAAAAGTTTAGTAGTCCATCATTTATTTGCTAGTCAAACATTAGATTTGTTAGTATTTCATTGTAAGATATCATATGACTTGTAAATATGTGAAAAGTTCAAAATTTGAAAAAAAAATTGAATTTGACAGTCTATCCAGTTTCATAAATTCATAAAATGAAACAATAGAAATATGTTTAGTTTAATTTAAACATTCACTATAATCTATTGAAATCCTGTATTATACACAGTAGATGTAATCAGAGTCCATTTTATTTGTTTGTTGTTGTTATTTTTCTTTATTTATTGTGTGAATTATTTATTTATAGGAATTGGTTACTCTACTGTCCACAGTTATTTTTTAACCACTATTAATCGTGAGGTACTTATATTTGTTGATTTTGTGGGTTAAGGTAAACAATGAATTTAATTGTTCTTTCCATAAATAACTTTTTAATATGTATGTTTGAAGATTTGTTAAAACCACACAAATTGGTACCCACAAAATAAAAGAATCTACAGTTATTAGCAAAAATTGGTGATTGTAATTTTAGTTCTCGTTTACTTGTAGAATATGAGGTTATTTTATTTGAAATTTCTGTACAGTCTGTAGCATACATTAGGTAATAAGGTATCAGGACAATGCATTCTTAAAATTCACCAGATGTTAGTGTAACCAATGTAAATCTTGTATTATGTGTAGAAAAGTGTTTTATATATTTTGATATAGTGCCATAGTAGATAGAATTGTGTGTGCTTATATGTTGTATTCAGTATATAAATAACTGCTTTGATAGAAAACAGTGCTTATTTAATTAGTTTAACCCTTTGTAATTGATGCTAAATTCCATTCATATATCATTGAATTTGGATGTATTTTTGCTTTTTTATACGCTGTGTTGCCATCTCTATTTATACCTTATTCAAAAATATATAGGACATTTTTATTGAATCATTTTGAACATTTAAATGCACGGTTTTAGTAGAAACTATTTTTTTAAAAGAATTAACAACAAAAACACTTATACAAAATTTGGATGACAATCTTGTCTGTATCTGAAACAAATGACCCAAAAGACATGAGATTATATTATTTGGGCCAATCCAAAATTACTGTAATTCTTCCATACAATTTTTTCATAATCCATTGCAGATAAATGATCCACCCTGGTATATAATAGTGCTTTTGAGATGGCAATACTTTACTGTAAATATAGATGTATTGTTATAAAGAACTACTATGGCTCATTAAGGTCAGTATGTAGTCATTAAATTTGATGCTGGTGTGTTATGTATGGGACTTATTTAAGTAATATTAATGCTGTATAGTACAAATACAAAAATGTACGTGCCTTCACTATTGCCAAGGCCATACTAAAAATCTTCTTTTGGAATCATTTCCCTTGTAATTTGACTGCAAATTATTTGTTTTATACATTTTCAGTACTTATCTCAAAATTACAATCTATCTTTGTTAGTATGAGAAACATGATTTATTTGAACAGTAATTGATCATTTAAAAGACTTTTTTTAGCACCTGGTGGAGCATTCCTAAGGCTTATTACTAGAACATTATCAATTAACTTTAGTATTCCTGGCTACACCAATACCAATTATTATTGACTGGTCTTTAAGGGTTATGTCGGTCATTTTAAGGCTGGTGTTTAAGTTGTTTTTCATTTGGTTACAATTCTAACAAGTTTGTGTTGTATTTATTACTTAGGTAACCTGTTAATTTTTTACTGACAAATTGTTTGTGATTAAATTAGTTTTCAAAAAAAGTGGAAGCTATACAAGTTTTTTTCTTAAATTTTTGTAAATATTGCTCTGCAGATAATTTAGAACACGGGTCAGACTAACACATATTGCTTTACTGAATATATATTAGAATAGTGTCATGTCAGGCATATGGAGGGGAATGTAAGGGGAAGGAGAATGATACATGTGTAGATTGAAGATCTATAATTATGTATAATTTAGGTTTTGTGATGACAACTTCGAATAATTTTTTAGTGCACAGAATTATTGCCTTTTACAAATGGAGAATCAACACTAAACACATTTGCTTGAATCATGTATATATACAACTAGCTTATTGCACTAATGTTGTTATGTTTTGTAGTATTGATTTGTCAAAGACTATTTCATAAAATTGGTAGCCTTAAGTCTAAAGAATGTCACAGTTTCTATGATAAATGTCAATAGAATAATATGTACTATAATTTCAACAGAGACTGAATACTCTTAAGAATTCACTTGTTTTATCAAAAATTGAATTTTAAACAACTATATTGTTTTATGGAATAGTCTTTCAAAATAAAATATGTTTGAAAAGTACAGAATCTTAAGAACCTGGCCATGATTTCTAAAAAATAGTCTGATGAAGTTTATGGTAACCAAAGAAGTTTTCTTGAAATCATGGTCAGATTGTATATAAAGTAAGCGGGTAAAGCTGTAAATCCACAAGTCTTTCAGAATAAGTAGGTTGTATGAAGAATTGTTAACTTTTGTAAAGAATTGTTCCATGTTAAAGTTTTGTTAACTGCATCAAATAAAAAACTGTAAATAACATTTGCTTCTATAATTATTGAACAGAGTTTAAAATGGAACAACTGACCTTTTTGGACCTGTTGAGTTCATCCATTATGTAACTGGAACTAATATCCTTTCAGGACCACATCAGTTCAACTATTTTGTAACTGGAATTACTGGCCCCTCAGTACCACCTGAGTTCAATTATTGTGTTACTGGAACTGCTGGCCCCTCAGTACCACCTGAGTTCAACTATTGTGTAACTGGAACTGCTGGCCCCTCAGTACCACCTGAGTTCAACCATTGTTGGTTGGGTTCTTGTTGCTCAATCTTTAGTTAAAGTTCATTTATTCTCAAGGTCATCATCTACTTCATATAACCAGTCAGTAGATTTGCAGAAGAAATACTATCATGAGGAAATCTATGTTACTTGGTACAATCATCAATGTCACTGGATGTTAAGCTAAACAATAATTCAATTCTAATCATCAGATACTAGTACTGTGCAAGGTTTCAAACTTGGGTCAACACTATATCGTCAGTTACAAGTGTGCTTATTTTTCTAGCTCAATGTTATACATATCATTGAATTGCCAATTTGTAAATATGTTCCTTATTGCTAAGGGAATGTTATGGATCAGATTTAAATATATATATGTAGGGTCAAGGTAAAATAAAAACTTTTTTATATACCATGCAATACATTCACTCTGAAGCACAACTTTTGGTGCCCTGAAGGACTTTATTGATGAGATAAGTCCTAGATCATACCCAAAATATAAAGATAAGATATGGTATGATTGGCAATGAGACATTATCTATAAAAACCAAAGAACAATCGATGAACAATTACAGGCCACTGTACAACCTTCAACAATTTGTATTTTAAATTTTAAGCTATAAAAGGAAAGGCATGACAAAGTGAATTCAAAAGAGAAAAGAAAAAAAATTCATAATACAGCAGTCAATGAAAAACAAATATGGTAGCCAGCAACCAACAACAACCACTCAATCTGGGTTACAGGATCATGGCTGGGATAAGCACACAAATAATGTGGCTGGGCTTTAGCCTTTACAGGTTTGTTAGGTTCATACCCCCACCCAGCACAAATCAAATCTGGGACAGCGGTGTAACAACCATATTAACAAACTAGAATTAAGCTGGAAAGGGATTTACTCATCAGATAGTTAAAAAGAACAAAAATACACAAGTACCAGTCTAGGAATAATCTTCTTCATTGAAAGCTAGTCCTAAGCCCAATTTCAACTAATAAGTGACAATGTTCTCTCAGACTAAAATGTCAATCAATACACCTCCGACTGATTTAATATTTAGACTTCACTGACAGTGTTAAAATAGTAACCTTATGCAATGCCAAAAAAGTATCGACAGGACGTATAACCTTAAGTGTTAATACCTGGATACCAATACATGTTTAGTTAGGTATACAAAGTTGACACAGTGTTAGCACCGTTAAAGACAATATTCAAAGATCTTACTACAATGCTAATTGATAACTGACGAGTATAGAACAACATCACCTTAAAAATAAGTGTGCATCCAAATGTCAAAACCAAATGTTTGTATCAATGAAAGAACTTAGTATAGGTTTTAATTGATTTTTTGTAAGAAATCCCTGACTTAAATAATTTATTATTTGTAAAATAAACAGATTACGTTTAATGAAATATAAGAACATACCGTGGAAAAATTCGAAAGTACACCACCGTCCATAAAAGGAAAATAAATCACAGGGAACGAATAATCTTCTCTTTTATCGTAAATTTTAGTGTAGAGTTTCCCGTGTGAAAGTGTGAAAGTGTGAAACAGAAATATCCAAATCAAGAAAAGGACAATAACTACTGTTTATAATAGATTTAATCAAGTTAGTTTATTGGGATAAATTTCTGCACAGTAATTTGAAAATTCGTCATTAACAGTAAACCTATCTCCAAGGTAAAGGTAACTGATATAAATATTTCTATTGAATGGAGTTCGACGCATCTTTATTGAGTTTGACCATACAATTTGATTCTAAACAGAAACAAATTTGATATTAAAGGCCATAGGAATACCTACAAACTCCCAATAAACTTTAATACCGAAACGAAAATAGATGATGTCCAGGAGTAAAAATGTGACTTTAATCATCTCTACACATTTCCAGTCAGTATATCTAAAATATATTTTTATCTTCTTCACTACAGAAGAAGGCTTTATACGAGTTACAGCAAATATATGTCCGACGTAACAACATGAAGTTCAACTGAATAAAATTGAACAATAAAAGTATGCTATCATCTAATGTGGACGAAACGCGCCTCTGGCGTACAGAATTTCAATCCTGGTATCTATGATGAGTTTATTTACAACCACTGGGTCGATGCCACTGCTGGTTGAGTTTTTCTCCCCGAGGGTATCACCAGCCCAGTAGTCAGCACTTCTGTGTTCACATGAATTATCATTGATACGGTTATAATTATGAATTAGCTGTTTACAAAACTTTGAATTTTTCGAAATACTAAGGATTTTCTACCCCAGGAATATATTATCTTAGCTGTATTTGGCAAAAATGTTAGGAATTTTGGGTCCTCAAAGATTTTCAACTTCGTACTTTATCTTACCTTTTTATGCCCTCGCCGTAGCGGAGGGGGCATTAAGTTTGACCCTTGTCCGTCTGTACGTCCGTCCATACGTCCAAAAATTGGTTTCCGTTCTCTAACTTTAGTTTACCTCAACCAAATGTTATGAAACTTATACACAATGCTTATTACCACAAAACACAGATCAAGTTCGAATTTTAGTGGCGTCACTTTTACCGTTCTAGAGTTATGCCCCTTTACAAATGGAAAAAATGCTGAATTTTTCGTTTCTGTTCTCTAAATTAGTTTGCCTCAACTAAACATTATGAAACTTATAAACAATGCTTATTGCCACAAAACTCAGATCAAGTAAAAATTTGGGTAGCGTCACTTTTACAGTTCTTGAGTTATGTCCCTTTATAACGTTATATGCAAGCGGGGGCATCATCTGTGTCCCATGGACACATTCCCCATTTATTTTTTTTAACTTGTTTGTATTCGAGCGTCACTGATGAGTCTTTTGGGGACGAAACGCGCGTCTTGCGTCCAAATTACAATCCTGGTATCTATGATGAGTTGACTTACACAATTTTTGCATTAACATACAGGAACACTTTTTTTGTTTTTTTTCATCAAAATTGATTTCTTTGTACTATTTTTCAATAGAAACAAAGTATTTTTTCACTGCCCATTTTTATTTTAAAGTAATTTAAAGAAATAGACCTGAAGGTACATGATCGTTGATTAAAAAGGTCACGAAGTCAATTGGAAGGATAAATAAATATACACGAAAATCGAGTTAATAACAAAAATACTGACAGTTGTAGGAGACGAAGCCAGTACCAGTTTTTTAAAACCTAGATAGGATACCAAGTTCACACATTTTAACAATAGAAACTGATACTGTACAATCTATTCTGTTGGTCAAAAATAATCATTTTCTAGATGAAAATTGATTTATATCTTATTCGATTGATTGCAACACGTCTTGTAAAATTAAATAACCGAAAACTAGATATATCTTTGTTCATGGGTAAAATTAAAAAAATCACCAAAGATACCGGGATGATAATTTGTTACGCCAGTATGAAAACACAAACGATATCAGTAATAACCATGAAACAGTTGTTCGTTGCAGCAGTGTCTAAACTTACCGCCATTATAGATCAAACATGAACTAAATCGTTCTCATCATTTAATTCTGTAATATACCTGTCCGTTACTGGACTTGTAGATATCAGGACGTGTGTGTTGCTTTAATATCAAGATGCTTACTCTGACGACGAACCTCTGATTTCATGAGATTTCCCATATGCATTTGATCTGTTGTTATCTTGGATTATTCGAGTAGAAGTGACTTCGGCATTATATCTAAATATTTGCCGTTTATATTTACAAAACAAACCAAAAAGACTCATCAATATACCAGGTTAATAATTTGGTACGCAAGGCGCCCGTATAAGGGTTCATTTCATTTACTAGCACTGGGTCGATACCGCTGCTGGTGGACTATCAGTCCCCTAGAGTATCATCAGCTCAGTACTTCTACTTCGGTGCTCACACGATTAATAACATGTAGTGATTTTAAATTTCAAGTTCATAAATTAAGAAATATTTTAGAAACTAAGGATCCAAAGTTGACTTGAGATGAATTTGGCTATTCTGGTTAGGTCCTTAATCTATTGGTCAAATAGCTCCTAACATTGCAGCGTATTTAGGTACCCTTGACGTGTAAATATTGTTGTTAGAGCGATCCTTGTGAAAAAAAAAACACTCATCTCTGTTAGTTGATATACAAAAAACGTTTAAAAGCACAATGTCATAATTTGAATGCGAGACAGGTTGGAGGGCGACTGATACGAATTGAGTTATGCAGTGTGTTGCACGGAGTACGAACAACATCGTGAGAAAAGAGTTCCGCCGTCTGTGTGATCAGCGAAGGAGTAGTCGTAGTTGGAAGCTTTTCATGTTTCTTATACGAAGTATTGGTGACATCTAAACGACGGCTTTTAGATTTCTTATACGAAATATTGGTGAAATCTAAACGACGGCTTTCAGATTTCTTATACGAAGTATTGGTGACATCTAAACGACGGCTTTCAGATTTCTTATACGAAGTATTGGTGACATCTAAACGACGGCGTTCAGGATGTATGATACTCCATTTAAGAATCGTCAGGTTGCAGAAACTTATATCGTTTACTTGTGGACATATCCGGTAAAAAAACACCTATGATGTCTATACGACCGCAAAAACATTTTGCGGTCGTATATTGGTATGACGTTGGCGTCGTCGTCGTCGTCGTCCGAAGACACATTGGTTTTCGCACAATAACTTTAGTTTAAGTCTCTATTAAATTTTACCATAAGGTTCAATACCACAAAAGGAAAGTTGGGATTGATTTTGGGGGTAATTGCCTCAAAATTTTAGGAATTAGGGGCCAAAAAAGGGACAA